ATTACTCAAGAAATGAAATCTTCAGAATTTCTAAGGACATTTTCAGAGAAGCTACCAATGAAATGTTTTTGTTGACCAAGTGCTAATAGCTCAATTGGTAAAGATCTCTAGCAAAAACTCAGAGGTCGCCGGTTCGAGTGGCGCTTGGGACGAAACCATATAACATGCTCTGGTTTCGGGCCTGAGAGGATGTATGAGCTTTGGCCCAAATCCTCTTTGATTATTCTAAAAAAAATGAAAAGTTTTTGTTGGCGTAGTTACCACTTGCATTAATTGAAACCATGGCTTGGAGACACTTTTGCTATATATATATATATATGTTATGCCGCATTCAAACAGAAAATCTACTAGAGATATAGTTGAAATGGTTGGTGCAAGGAATGTATCTCTAAAGCAATGGATTTCTACAAATCAACAAAGAGTGTCTCTTACCACAAACATATGGGCCACGTTACATGAGCTAGTTATATTGTCATCATAGCACATTTTATTGATGCTAATTGGAAGTTAAGGAAGCTTTCCACAATTTCACTAGTTCTACTTGATTGTTTGGCTGAGTGGGGAATAGAGAAGTTATTCACCATCATTGTCGTCGATACTACTGCAAATACTTCAGCTTTAAACAAGTTTAGAACGCAATTTAAGCTAATGATGAATGATTCATTAGATAGAGAGTATATGCACGTGAGGTGTGTTGCACACATTATCAACTTGATTGTCAATGAAGGGTTGCATGAACTGAGTGATCATGTGGTAGTCATTCACAATGTAATTCAATATGTGAGGTCTTCTACAATAAGATTTTACTCATTTGAGAGAAAAGTTGTGACAGGAAAGATGGCTAGGGAAAGCTTGCCTTGGATATCAAGACAAGGTGGAATTCGACCTACTTAATATTATCAAGAGCTATTAAGTTTAGTTTGGCATTTAACAAAATGAAGGCTGAAGATAAATTTACAATGACTACTTTATGGAGTAGAAAATGGACAAAAAAGAATTAAACCGCCTATGTCAAATAATTGGAGGGAAATAGAGAGGTACATAAAGTTCCTTGGTCCATTCTATAATGTCACAATGGTTGTGTCTGCATCTACTAATGTTTTCTCATATAAGTGCTATCGCGAGATAGTGACTATATAAAAAAAATCTTATGACAATGAGCAATAGTTTAGATGAAGAGTTGTGGAAAAACGCTGATGAATTGAAAGAAAATTTTGAAAAGTATTGGGATGGGATGAAGATCAATAGATCATTCCTAGTGTTTGTGATCCTAGAAAGAAATTGGAGTTTGCAAAGAAGTACGTTGATAAACATAATGGCTAAGACTCTTCAGATGCTAACGAAATGAATGGATAAGTTTATGATGTTATGAGATCTATCTTCAAGGAGTATTTCAGTCGTCGCTATAACAAAGGATCAAATACTTAGTCGAATCCGGCATGATCTTCTAGTGGTAAAAAAATCATGATACAATTGATTTAGGGGATAAATTTTCCTTATAAGGAGATGTTTGATGAAATAGGAGTTGACGATGCTAGTAATGAGTCGGATCTCTATATGAAGGAAAAAGTGGAAAATCCTCAGACTATGATTGGTAGAGAATGGGATCTTTTTCTTCGTGGAGGCTCAATTCTCAAAGGGTTTTTTTTTTCCGTTAGAACTTGCAAGAGATGTACTTGCGATGCAAGTGACATATGTTGCAATTAACGAAAAGTGCTTTTAGCACTAGTGGATGTATCCTAGAGCCACACATGAGCTGTTTAACCCATTACATGCTCGAGGTATTGATGTGCATAGAGGAGTAGTTGAAGTGTAATTTTCAATTTAATGGAAAAAATGGTGCCACAGATGCGCAACTTCCTGCTGATATTGAATTACTAAATAAACTTGAAAGAGGTTTAACGTTTCTAATCTTATATTATACTAAATATCATTGTATATAACTTACAGGTTTAACGTTTTTGTTTGTTAACTCTTTTTCAGAGTTTAAACCTCAAATCAACTCTAATTAAAAGGTAACTATTTTCAGTCTTTCACTTTGGTTTCATATTTTATAGTTGATTTCAGACTTTCAATCTCAGCTTTCATATTGCTTTCAATGTAACAAAGGCATGGAAAATGTCACGCAATCTGAACTTTGGTGACTCTCTTGGTCTGAACCAGGGCCGACCCTAATCAGAACGAGATGCAACAATCGGATGTGGCCCCAGAAGTTTTTAGAAAAATCCCAGCACCATTTTTTTCAAAAAGGCCCCAAAAGTATTTAGTTTTATAGAAAAGGCCCCCAGAATTTAAAACCCATTATAATAACTTCAAAATTTAATTTTATTACTTTGGTCCCCAAATTTCAGGACTGGCCTGGTCTGAACTTGGAGAATGATTGTTCGTAGTTACACTATCAGCCTATCACTCACTATGGTTTATACAATGGTTTTGGAATGAACTTTTTCCTTTCAATGCCTCTTAATTAGGTTCTTCTTAATGACTTATCTCGATTAGTATGTACTTTGGTTACTTTTGGATCCAAAGTATTAGAACCGTATTAGTACCGAAAAAAATTGCGTATTTTTTGGATCTATCATTAACTACCCGAATCGATCTGAACCTGAAAATATTTATCAGATCCTTTACCGAAGATTGAAATTACTAAAATGGGGCTTTAATGTAATTACCGAAAAATTCAAAACCCAAAGTGAACTCGAATGGATATCCGAGTGTCCAAGCCTAATATTTATTATGTTTGATATAGTAGTGTACTTGTTTAATATTTCATACGAGATACTATCACATCATATAAATTATTTTCTCGACATATAAATTATTAAACTACACTAACAATTAAAAAAACTGCAAATTTTTAGATCACCACACTAGATCAAATCAGTCAAGCTTTTTGTATACCAGGTACTGCAAAACTCTTTTATTTGACCAATATTATTTTATAATCACACAACAATAAAAAGTGCTTCATTTTTGAGCGAATTATTATTGTGCAATACTTGTTGAAAACTTTGTTGTCCATATGTGTAGAGTCTTTGTCAGATTAGCTTTGTAAATATTGTTTTAATAAAAATTATCCTAGTTTGTTATGTCATTTAAGATTTTGTCTTTCACGCTTATCTAATAGCATCTACTAGAAATTTAACTTTAAATGTGAAAGCTGCATAATAAGCTTTATGTTTATAAATAAAAAAACATATCCAAAAACACAAGAAATAATTTAATTGACAATGAAAACTTCTAGTTCTGATAAATTACATGGTAGTAAAACAGTGTTTTTAAATTTAGGGTAATATTAGAGAATAGCCAAATTTTAGACAAAATTAAATAACTGTCCATGAAACATTTTTTAATTGGAAAATAGATATAGACCCATGTTTTAAAAGGAGGAAAATGAAAAATTCATCCTCTTATTTTTTTTATAGAGATTGATTAAAAACAAAAAAAAACATGTTACATAGTTTCCGTGATGAAGAAACAAATTAGATAGTTTTCATGAGATTTTGGCGTGTAACATATAAAATTCACATGTTAAATTGAACTGAATAACATGTTATTTGTCAAAACATAATGTGTTTTACAAAAACTGACATGTTTGTAAAATAAAATAAAATACCGAAAACATGTATTTGTGAAGTAACTCACATGAAATCTTTATAAATAGCATGTAATATTATAAAGTAATATATTAAAGAGATATATCTCATATTATCACATGTAATTAAATGCAGTAGAGTGTTATAAAAGAAAATGACATATATTGAAAATAGAAGAAGGAGAAAGAATAAGGAAAGAAAAAGTTGGACTATAAATAAGATTCTAATAGAAGAGAGATAGAGAGCTATCCATGGCTAATTTTTTAATTTATTTTCAGAATTTGGCTATGTAGTACATATTCTCTAAATTTTACGAACCAGGAATATACTTTTTTCTTTTCTTTTAATAGATGTTTTCATATAATTTTTTTTGTTTTACTTGAAGTTTTGAAACATAGTAGTTTCTAAATTTTAAAAATTTTTGAAGATCATTCCCTTAATTATTATTTTTCAGTGATTAAAAGTATGATATTTTTGAGAATTTCACATAGTATTATCTTTGGTTGATTTGGTTCAACCAATTCAAGAAAACCCTAACATTGCCATTAATGTTGATACGTATACCCGAAAGGCCACATGGATACAAGGTGAGTCATCGATACTTTATTGAATGTAATGCATTTTCTGATTTTTCTATTGCTCGATTTAGTATACACTTCATTAGACCCATTACTTAGAGCATAATTATACATTTTTATATTATTATACTAATCACTAATTACTCTTAAAGCATGCCTCTTTTTCAATATTTTATTACACAGATGTTGAGTCTCTACTGGCTCATAAGTTCTTTTCTAGAAAATAAAGACAACCCACTAGTATATTAAAAACATTATAAATTTTCCCCACAAGAACTGAATCCAGAACAAAGTTATATATGCCTCTGATGATGTCTATAAGAAACTTTTTAAGTGATTAAAGACAAAACATTGTTGTTCAAGAATATATGTTTTAGTGATGACGAATATATATATTGTACGGATCTATGTATGGATTTGGTAATGGGGTACTTGTAAATTCTTAATTGGGTATGAAAATAATGAGCTGGTTCTCATTATGGCGTCGACACTTGTTTGAATAATAGTGGTTTGTCAAGATTGTTTCCGTGATTGAGGAACTCAAGTAAAAAAAATTATAATTGATGAGGCTAATGATAATGCATAAGCTACATGGTTAACTCTAGAGTCTTTATAGCTAAAGTAAAAATAAAATATGTAGAATCAAACATCTTCATAAAGTAAGAAGTGACTAAGCATATATAGATTATAATAGACACACATACTATTTATATACACAAGCACATGTTCAAAGATAGAAACATAGAAAGAGCATAGTCTCTCACACAGACAAAAGTTGTGTAGTATTGGTTTGTGTGTGAAAAGAGTTTGTGAGAAGTGAATAGGTATGATTGATTGGGGAGTTCAAGGCCATCATCAAAAGCATGATCATGATCCTTATCAACAACGACAAGGATGTAGAAAAGGACCATGGACACTTGAAGAAGATAAGCTTCTTGGGGAGTATGTTACTTCCCATGGTGAAGGAAGATGGAGTACTGTTGCTAAGTGTGCAGGTAACTATATGGATCAATCATGGCTTTTATATGTACATGTGTGCACTGTTACTAGATAATATAATCTTGTAGAAATATTAGTAGACGATCTATATTGAATAATACTAGTGATGATCTCTATCTTCTCTTCAAGCTATTTGAGTTATACTATTTCTTTTTCTTAATTGAAAGTTAGTTTTATTACTTTTTATATAATTATATTGAATTAATTAACACATGCTTTTATGATGATTGATAAAGATAAGTGTGAGATCATATAGTTGACCTGATTAAGCTCTTGATTATATATTTCATTCTTGTTTCTTTTATTTTATTTTCCCTAAGATTTTTACAAAAAGAAAGAAAGAAGACAATGTCAAGGACTCATGGTGGTAAGCTTTTTAGGGTTTATAATTTTGAAAATGAAAAGATGATCTTATGATTCTCTGTGTTTCTAGAGTTGACTTTGATCAGTTTGAGAACATTTTTACATAGATTATACCTTTTTTATTCCAGCATTTTTGGTCGAGATAATGGTAAAATAAGAAAGATTCACACTCATTTATTATATAGATATAGATCATTAAGTTACATTAAAGTTGTACATATTCAAGTCAAACCCATTTATATATTGCCTCATTTTTTTTCCATGGAATTGAAAAATAGGGTTGAATAGAAGTGGTAAGAGCTGTAGACTAAGGTGGGTGAATTACTTGAGGCCAGGACTTAAGAGAGGACAAATCACTCCTCAAGAAGAAGGAATCATTCTTGAACTTCATTCCCTTTGGGGTAACAAGTAAGCTCCTACTTACTAGATTAATCATACTATATGATAAGAATGCTTTCTATAAAGAATGATTAATCCAAAGCCTTTACTAAAATATCATATAGTTTTATCATATGTATGTATTCAACTCAGTTTACTTCATGGGAATTTACATATTATTTTTTATAAAATCTATATAGGTGGTCTACAATTGCAAGATACTTACCAGGACGAACAGATAATGAGATAAAAAATTATTGGAGAACACATTACAAGAAAAAAGAAAAATCCTGTTCGAAGCCAGAGAGAGCCAAAAGATCTCAATCCCGGAAACACCAAGTAGATCTAAAACCGCAACCACAACCACAACCGCATAATCACCAGTCTCAGCTAGTGTCCCGAGACCAAATGAATATAGACAAAGAACAAAACATTTCTTCCCCTTTATATTACTCGACTAGTATCTTCAATGACCAACTCTCTATGCCTCAAAATGTTGCCGCAACCTCATCCGACCACTCTATGATCGATGAAAGTAACTTGTGGGGCAACTTATGGAACCTTGGCGACGATGATCCATATAGTTTTGGTAGTGGCTTAGGGCAGAGGATAGCCACAGATTTATCTGAGAAGTTTCCTAATGGTGGAGTCGAGACACCGTCGTGTGGATCAGGGGATTATAGTTATACTGGCTTTTATATTTTTTAATTAGTATGCTTTAAGATATCAAGAACTTGTGTCTTCTTATGGTTTATAGAAATATTTAAAGACCTCATTGTGTATTTTCTAACTTTAGTATCAATCTCTTACTAAATGGAATGAGGCTAATAAATTGTTTGGCATGTATGTCTCAAATTTTTTACTATTGTTTTTATAAGTTTATTGAATAAATATTGAGAACAAGTTCATTGGATGGTGAGTTGTGACGCAGTCTCTCGTTTCCTCATTTAGTTTGGGCTTTGCTTTTAGAGCATCTCCAGTGGTTCTGTTGGAGATGGTCATATGGAGTTGTTTAGTTGGGCATTTGGCTTTTGACTTTTTATTCCTTATGATAGGGTCAAAATTTTTATAAAATAACACAATATAGTGACGTCAGTTTCAAAACCGATTCATATTCACCTGCAACAACATAAGTACTATAGGGATTTTAAAAGACACATTCAAGGCCTTACATGTGCAAATAAGTTTTATATATACATGTACTTTAGAAAATGCAACGCCTAGCCTCGTAAAGTGCATGCACTGTGAGCTTGTCATCACAAAAATCTTAAAAGAGACAACACAAAAACATCAAGAGTATTTTCAGTTAAACTTATGGTATTAGAGTATTTCTATTTTTTAAAGGACTCTCTGGACCCGGTCCAGCATAATATAAGGCCCAATAAGCAAGAAAAATTGTTTTATTAATTTTTATAGATAAAATTTAAAATTATTTGGCTCATAATATGTTGGTGTCGATTGACACCAAGGAAGGGTGTCGATCGACACCAACATTTTTTGGCTCAACCGTTTTAATTTTAATTGCAAAATTTATTGGGAGATGGGTTGGTTAAACCTAGGTCATGTTACAAAAGAGGAGAAGTCGACTTTTGTCTTCTTTCAGCCGCTTTTTTAACATTTTAGAGAGTGAAATAGTTCTGAAGGTTTTTAAAAGTTCCAGAGGGTTTGTGTAAGGCTGTTTGGTGGCTGTTCTTGGTGTTTTTAGACTAGAGGAGGCTAGATCTGTGGTTGTTGGTGTTAGAAGAGTAAGATCCTTCATTGTTCTTCCTTGTTTTTGTTGTTGTTCATTCATTTCAAAGGTGAGTGCATGACCAAGGCTTGGGAGACTCACTCGTGGCTTGGGAGTGATTAGGAGTGGAGATCCTGTGAGAAAACGTAGCTGGAGTGTCTGTAGAGTGTTGGTGTTGATTGACACTAGTGGTGGGTGTCACTCGACACCAATGATTTGTTCCTCGAGGATAGTTGCAACTTGCGAATGGAGTATCGAGCTCGGTGTCAACCGTGGGTGTTGAGGGCGAGTGTCGATCGACACTGATTGCCACTTGTAGCGTTTAATGTATTTTAAATGCTTGACTTTGATTGTTTTGCTTAATGATGGTTATTACTGCTTGTGTGTATAGCCCGGTAGTGGGATGAGTGCCTCACTAAATATTTGAGGAAATACTTATGCATCTCTTACCTATTGCTAGAAATGCTTAGAGCATGTTAGGAATGTTGTCTGATTGGCAATGATTGCATTTGATGATTATTGCAGTTGGTTTATTAGTTTGACAATTTAATGTTTTCTACTGTTTTGAATGATTATGGTTGGTTTGCTTGGTTTAATTGTTTTAAATTAATTTGGTCGGGTTAGATGGTTTAGTTGGTTTAAATTAATTGGGTTAAAACGGTTGCATGATTAAAAATTAAAATTTTTGGGGTTGGGTCTTTTCGATTTTGTATCAGAGCCTGGTTGAATGTATGTGTGTTAAATATATGATTGGGATGTGATGTGTGAATCTCGTTGATGGAGAATAATGATGTGAATTGCGTGCCTGGTTGAATGTATGTGTATCTTCAATTGTGTGTGCATGGAGACCTAGATCATTTTCTCGAGCCTTCAATGAGATTCCACAGTAAGTTGAGTATTTTGTTGTTTAATGCTCTTGTGTGCTTATCCTTCTTTTTTTAGTGCATATGCTTAAAGGTGGAGCTGCTTTCGTGGTCCTGGCCGTGGTCGCGGTGGGGGCGTGGTGTTGGCTCGGGTAGCGACACGAGTGTAGGTCTGAGTGCTACGACCAAGCATGCCAGTTATTCGCAGATGTTTCAGGAGGGATCCCTGGGTGATGCTAGTGTGAGTGTCGTAGGAGCTGGCTTCCCCAGAGATGATACGTGTGTCGTTGAGAATCCGGTAGCGGGTGTTCCATTAGGTGGGGCCCAAGGTTAGAATGATCATCTTGCGGATCTGTTGACGCAGTTTTGGAAGCGGTTATCGAGAGCAGGACCAGTGCACGCTCCAATAGGACCGCCAGGGGTGGCGGAAGTGCAGCCTTTTGGGCGAGGTGGGCCTGGCGTGCAGCCAAGTGGGCCCATTGGACAGTTGTCGAGCATCTGCAGCGGTTACGGATGTCCATGTTCTTTTAGTGTTCCATCTGCAGAGTGGAGGGTGAGATTGGAGCAGTACTTCCAGTCCATGAGGTACCGGAGGCGTACCGGGTGGATCTAGCAGCTCACAACTTGGCTGGTGATACACACTTATGGTGGAGGAGTGTGCTGGACGAGAGAGAGCAGAGATTGATGGGACTTCTTGGCAGAGTTTAATGCCAAGTATTTTTTAGCATGTGCATTGGACTACATGGAGTCGTAGTTTCTGGCGTTAACTCATGGTGAGCGGTCGATGCGAGAGTACGACGCAAAGTTTAGCAGACTCTTTTAGTACTCGGGTTGTGCAGGAGATCCGGAGCAGATGCAAGTGCGTCGGTTCATGAAGGGTTTTAACCACGACATGAAGGTGCTATGCAAAGTGCGAACCTATGCGTCGTATGTGGAGCTGGTTGAGGTGGCAGAGGGTATTAAGAACGAGCTGAGGAGTCATGCGGTGGTTCCTAGTCTGTCGGTGTAGCCAAAGAATGCCTAGCCGCAGTCGATTCCGAGCAAGGGCGACAAGCTTCCAGGGACACAAGCGGAAGTGGGATGATGCTTCCAGGACAGTTCATGGTGGTCGGGGATGCTTCGGGTGCGTGAGCATGGATCACAAGTTAACGAGCTGTCCAAAGAAGAGCGAGCCTCGTGTGGAGACTCGTGTCTATTTCCACTGCAAGGAAACGGGGCACATCAAGGCGAGGTGTCCTAAGACGCAGCTGATGACGGTAGAAGCCGGGGGTGCAGCAGGGAGTGCAACCAGGAGGGCAGTCGTGGGCTCAGCTGGGAGCGCCGCCAATGGCGTAGATCGAGGGACCTACCCGACCTTGGAGACAGGTGATATATAGTGTTTTTAGAGTCTTTCACCCTTTCTTTTATGTCTATTTTGAGTCGTTTGTCATCATTTAGTCCGTCTTTCGTGTCTTTCGAGTCGTGTTTTGAGTCTTGAGCAGGAGCTAAGCAGTTGGAGCGTAATTGGCGCATTGTAGACCAGTTTCGGGCAAGGAAGTGCAAGATCAGCAGATGAAGAGCAAGGACCGATCCGTCTGATATTGGACTGATCGATCCAAACCGAAGACACATTCCAGGAGCAAAATGATCGATCGATCCCCACCTTGGATCGATCGATCACTCGTCCAGACCTGATTAGAGAACAGAGATCGATCGATCCCCACCGTAGATCGATCAATCCAATTACCCTGACAAGACCAGGAGCAAAACGACCGATCGGTCCATATTTCAGACCGATTGGTCCATATGCATGACGACCTAATTCGGTTTTCTAAACCGGATTTAATTGCTATTTTCTTCTATAATGGGTATTAAAAACCCAGAAATACCTATTTTTCATTCTACGCTTTTCTTAACAGCAGGTTTCTGAGTTTTTGACTTGTAAGCAACATATGGGATAGAGATTGATCCTTTTTGACAATTTGGAGAAGATTTCTAAACCTTATTCTTATTCTAATCTATTGAATCATGTTTTCTTCAATATCTATTTCTTTGTTTCAATTGTTATGTCTGAGTAGTCTCTTAATTGTGTTTTAGGGTTCTAAGTAGGAGATACAATGATTTGATGGATTAGATGTCTTAGGGAATTATTAATCTTTAGGTTCTTCAATTTATATGTTCTCAATGCTAGAATAGGATTGATCACCCTGTTTTAGAACTTAGGCTTTTATTTGTTTCAAAGATGATCAATAAAATGCCTGAATGAATGTAAACTGAGCATTGTATTTCTAAGCTGCGAGAGTTGATGTTAGAATGCCTTGTGAACATAATGAATCTGTTGGATAATGCAAATTTGGCTAGGAAATTACAAATGAGAATTAAGTAATTGAATAATTGGATTTAGTTGTTAATGTCTTGAGAGAGAATTAGTCTAAACTTGTGTTCATGTTGAAGAACGATTCTTCATGCTTGAATTCCTTATTGCTTTTATTCGATATTCAATGATTCTCCGAAATACCCTGATGCCCAATGTTTTTAATCTATAAGTTTAATCTCTTTATTTGTATTTTTATTTACGAAACTTAAAACCAAACAACAAATCTTTTCCGCTTTATCTAATAACGAGTCTCGCAAGTTTTTAGTGTACTCTTGCTTCTTGTGATCTATCCCGCATATACTTTACTTCGGTTAAGTTATCAGGTTAAAGTCGCATGAGGCACTTTGCTAGCAGTTCAGGGACAGGTGAAAGGTGTGGATGAGTAGATTGTGGGAGAGTCGATGCCGGCAAATCTGTATATGATTCTTACCATGGAATGGTTGGATCGGACATAAGTTGTATTACCAGTGTGTGAGACCGATTTTGGGGAGTTTGGTAATTTCGGCAATGTAGGTTTTGAAAATGATTAGGAAGGGGCGCGCAGCCTACTTAGCGACGATTGTGATGCTAGAGATGATCAAAGAGGTAGCGTGAGTAAGATCCGGGTGGTGTAGGAGTTCGAGGACGTATTTCAGTCGTTGAAAGGATTACCACGATCTTGGTTTGATCCTTTCACGATTGAGTTAGAATCCGAGACAACGCTGTTATCTAAGGTTCCGTACAGAATGGCTCCAACTGAGCTGAAGAAGCAGTTGGAGGA